TCTTCTCTTCTCTTCTCTTCTCTTCTCTTCTCTTCTCTTCTCTTCTCTTCTCTTCTCTTCTCTTCTCTTCTCTTCTCCCTCTATGTGCTATGAGGGTGTGGTGGTAAAAATATTAGTATTTCAGTTAAGAGAAATGTGGCTCAGAAGTTGATCTTAATTGAAAGAACATCCCTTTCAACCCAAAGCTAACAGTCTCTGACTGCTTCAAACTCCTCACTTCGGAGATAAAATAATGCTGGGTGGGCCACTCCTGCAGGCCCCACCAAGAGCCACCTCTCCATGTTGTCACTATTTGATTCCTTCTCACTATTTAATTCTTATGTCACTTGGCAAGCTCCCTGGGCATGGATACCTGCCTTTACTGACATTAAAATTGTTATTTTTCTTACTTCTTTTGTTTTTTTTTTCTGAAACAGCATATAGGCTGGATCTCGGTGTTCACTATGCAGAGAACAGGGGAGCAGAGAGGAAGGTGCTGTCTGAATGCCCCTCACTATAACCATAGTTAATAAAGCCTCTCTCTGGGCTTTTGTCTCAAAGCATTGGATCCAAATGTCAAAGCATTTGTATTATTAGGCACTTGGAGGCCCCAGATTCTCTGAGCTCTCTGCCCTGATGCCACCAGCTCTGTCACAGCATTGCACCATCAGGACAGCCACAGGGGACACGAGGGACCTCACTCCTGGAGTGGTGGGATGGTATCTCCTACCACTCATGGTGCTATCTCAACTGCTCAAGAGCAGCCGCCTGTTTGGTTCAGCTCTTCTGGTTCCTCACCCAGCAGATGGAACAGGAGGGGTCCCAAACACTGCCTGAGCCCCCCCCAAACATCCTTGCTAAGTACACTCAGCCAGTGAACCCAGCAGCACTGCCTCACCTCTGCCAACCCAGCTCTCCATGAAACAACCAGCTCCAGGTAGGATCCAGCTGGAAATAGCTCCATTTTGTAAACTTTGACTTTGCCATGGCCCTACTGAGGTGGAAAAAAACTGAGCAGCAGCCGTGGTTCTCAGCACCCAGGGAGGATTCATATCGCAATAGGAGCATGATGGGACGTTTTTAACAATCAAGTCTTTAAAAGAAGTACTTGCCAAGTGTCAAAATATTTCTCAGTGATATTAAGGGCCTTTGGCAATTGTAATTTAACCGTGAAGGAACCTGATGCTAGCAAAGGACCGCACAGCTGGAAATTTGTGCTCCAAAGCAGCATTTTATGGCTGTTAAGCTTTTAGCCTCTCAACGTTGTAAAGCTGTTAAACAAACACAGCCCTTGGCTCACAACACGTGTCAGGGAGGCACAGTGTTTTGGCAGGAGCAGACTGATGGCAACAGGGGCTTCAAAAGAGCTGTGAAGAGAGAGAAAGAAAATTCAGGTGGAGGATGACATGCCTGTTGGCCATCACAGCCTCATACTGGGAGAGGGTGGTCTTGGAAAAAGTGCTTAGGCTCACATGGAGTTGCATCCTCCCCCGCTTTGGCATCAGATAATGTTGCCACGCACATATGGATCCCAAGCATCCCATACATACCAGTGTCATAGCTGCTGGTCAGTAGATGCTTAAAGCACTCTCTTGCAGGAAGGTGATATCCTAGGGAAGCCTAAATGTAAAAGATTTGGATGGTATTGGTAGCTTTGAATGGGGAAATAGGTGTCCCAGGAGGATGAGCCACATGCTGCAAACTACATACCCTTTGCTGCATATAATGACATGTTGGAGCAAGCTGCATTACTGCCAAGAGATGCCCCAAGAGCAGCCACAGCCTGGCAAACACAAGCTGAGCCCTGGTCCCAATAAAGGCATAGCAAATCCACAGGGAAGAAATAAAATACACTTGCTGAGCCCAACACTCAAACATTCAGAAAAAATGTCCCCAGAAATAAGGAGGTTCCTGTCTATTTCTTTACTGTTTACTTCCATTCTCTTCTAGCAATCATTGCATATTGCTTTGGCTTGGAAGCTGATCTTAGGAGGCAGGAACAGCTGGTCCTGCTGTGGGGAAGTGTGGTGGGAGATGCCTCCAGCTGTGCTGCCTACAGCCACCTGTCCAAGGCAGGCACTCCTTAGGCTGCTGCCATGAGCTCTTTTTCTGGCTCAGAAGCTGTATGAGAAGAAGAACAGTGACACTTTATCATCAGGAGGGCACCACACAGAGATGGACAGGGTGGTCTTCCCAGGCTTGTGGGACTCCTGCCCTGTCCAGTGGTCCCACCTTCCAATGATACTCCAGCTCCTGAAGCTTTCCAAGAAATGTTGTGCCTGCAAGACCCATTCTTTCGCAACCAGCCTATGTTAAAACAACCAGACTGTGTGTGTAACACTGTTTTCTCTGCCAGATCTTGACTGTGTGTACCTTTCATTGCTACCAGACAGACCAAAGAGAACTGGAGGAGTTGTAGTTCTCACACTGGTGATAAAAAGAGAGGTAGTGGTAGCATCATTTGTCTTGCTTGCAGCATTTCCTCCTGTTTATTTCCATGAAAACTCTAAATTCCAGAGTCTAGTTTCTGCACTTTGTGGGTTTTGTAATGCAATGTCTCAACCATTAAGGGAGGCTGCTAGACTGGACTCTAGATGGTTGGAAAACAACAAGCTAAGCAGCAAGAACTGGTGCTGGATGTCTGCATGCAGGTGCTGGTTCATGTGGTTGCACAACTCCATCTTCTTGCAGTCCCCTCACTGATGCATGCCCATGTCTTAGTCCAGCCAGGTGGCTGCAAAGAAATGACTCAGTGTTAACAGGAGGAAGCTAACAGGACGTTTACCACCTAGAACTAGGAAAAAAACGTTCATGGGTTTGTTTCCCAATGATCTGGGTGATACATTTTGAGGAGATGGACTAGTAAATTATTGCTGCTGCCTGGTGAAATTGGTTTTTTTCCCTCTCTGATGGACACAGCTCCACTGTGTCTATTTTGTCACTCAAAAGCAGCCATTTTGATGAGAAGTGGGTGAGATTAAGCCAAAATCTGCTAGCCTTGCACGTCCTCTTGCTAAGCAATTTGCTGCTTCGCTGCCTTTGGAAGATTGCACTGAAGTTGCTTTCCTGGCACCAGGAGCCGTTTTGAGAATTAGTGCAAAACTAATTTGATTACAAATCTCAAAGACACCAACAAAAGCTATTTTTAAGCTTTTGAGAAGTATGGTCTGAATCAGACTGTTCAGGGAAAGCACCACAGGAGTTCTTACTGTTATTTCAGCCACACAGTTCTCCAAAACCATGGGATCCTGGTGCAATTGGCTGGCTGAGATCTAACACATGCCCATTACCAATATGTAAATCTTGTGGTCAGCAACTGGGAAGCATCATGAGGCACCCAGCCCACTGCTTGCCTTGGTGCCTCTTTTGGATTGCTCAAGGTGTTTCTTCTTCCTTCTTAGAAATATTGTGTGCTTCCTCATAACCCAACCTCTTATATCATCAGAACTCCAAAGCTGGTGATATATAAAAATATAAATAAGATAAATCTCATAAAAAAGCACCACTGTCCAGAGCCAGGGCAGGACAGTGGGGTTCACATCCCATCCCTTGACATCCTCTGGTACAAACTGAGGTCTGTGCCAGGTAATGCAGGAGCGCTGGTCATAATTCACATCATGCTTATCCACATGCACCTCTCAAACCTTCGTTGCCTTCAAAGACAGCCTGAACAAGCTGTTTTAAGGACTGTGCATGGATGTAATCCTTCCCTTCCCTAAGCCATGGGAGCTGAGGCCTCTGCAAGGGAGCATAGGTCTGCAAAAGGGAGGAGCTCGAGGTGGTCCCTCAACCCCGTTCATCCCTCATGCAGGTGCCATGATCCTCACACAGAGTACACCCCAAAGAAACATTGCTCACCTCATGGCATGGGGGGTTACACCTGCACAATTTTCCCTGTAACTTCAGTTTTGGCCTCTAACACGTTATCCTTGTGGCAATTCCCTCTCCTTTGGGCTCCCAGCTGTGTCTGGCGTGGGGAGGGCAGCAGAGCTGCAGCTCTCAGGCCCAGGGCTGATGTCTGACATTTGTTTTGCTGGTTTGCTTCCAACTCTGCAACCCCCTGAGTCCATTCCACAGGTAGTTTGGCCAGGGCTGACGTCAGCAGTGCTTGGAAGGATCAATGATAACCTTTTCCTTTGCTAAGGAGTTTCCTATGTGCCAGAGAGAAGAGGATGCTGAAAAACGAATGAAGCTGGGATTCTCTGTGGGTCTCCCTGGCATTATTCCTGATATTTTAAAAAAACAAACCAATTCTCCTTTGGTTTTATTAATCTTTCTATCCTGGCATTTAAACAAAGATTGGCATGGTCAGTAACTGCAGACACATCCTATGATGCTCTCAGGGGTTTTTCTGAAGGTTAGGACACCCAGGGTGCTGCATCCGAAGTGCCTCAGTTACCCTGAGCTGCTGGAAGGCATTTTGGCATAGCAACACCCGGTAATGCCACTGCACAGATTATCCCACATCACAGAGGGAAGGGCATTTGGGTCCTGGGAGCATGTCTGTAGGGTAGGAGCAAGGTTCCTCTGAGCCTCAAGACTGGCACCTTTTGGGGACACCTTATGCTATGACGCTATTTCAGTATTTAATTCTTCTGGATTTTAGTATCGAACTGAAGAACTGAGCTGAGTCTGTGCACCTCTTGCAGAGGTGAGCACCTGGGCAGCATCCCAGAGCACCCCATGGTGGAGAAGTGTCTTGTCTCTCTTTGTCACCCTGTGCCTAGCAGTGGTTTTCCACTCTCACAGATTCAGCAATGGGGTTCATGCCTGTTCTTGTCTTGGTTTCAGGCATGGAAGAAACGCTGGTTCGTCCTGCGCAGCGGTCGGATGAGTGGAGACCCCGATGTCCTGGAGTACTACAAAAATGACCACTCCAAGAAGCCACTGCGTGTCATCAACCTCAATTTCTGTGAGCAAGTGGACGCGGGCCTCACCTTCAACAAGAAGGAGCTGCAAGACAGCTACATCTTCGACATCAAGACGAGTGACAGGACCTTCTACCTGGTGGCTGAGACAGAGGACGACATGAACAAATGGGTTCGCAGCATCTGCCAGATCTGTGGCTTCAACCAGTCCGAGGAGAACACAGGTACCATGAGAGACAGGCCCGTGGCTAAGAGCATCTTCTCTCCTGTCCTCCCAGTGGGCCCAGGTTCTCTTTCAGATCAGACCTGTAGAGGGGGGTGCAGCTTGCCACAGGGCTGGAGGATCTGAAGTGGGAAATGGACGGACATGTGGGAAACTTTCATGAGACTTTCCTGCCTTTGGCATCTAAAGAGCTGTCTTGGCTGCTGTGACAGCCAATCATTTTTAGCCTCCATAACTGTAGACCTTTCAGTCCCTCAAAAGAAGTTGGTGGTGTTTGGGGACGTTTTTAGCTGCAGCCTTTGCCCCTATCCATCACCAAAATCCCTTTGAGAGTGGTGGAAACCAGCAGTGAAAATCCTCCTTGCTCAGAGGTTTCAATCCCTTGATGAAGTAGAGGGAGAAGCTTTACTGGAACCATTTTCTTTTCCACTGCAGTTGTCCCCACTGCTTGCAGGCTCTCATGTGGAGGACAGACATACTTCCTGCACCTGCATCCCCATCTCTTCCTGGAACCCTCAGGGAAAGCATTGGGAGGAGGGAAGGAAAACTCCAGGGAGTTTATGTGCAGTGAGGAACCTATTGTCTGAGTTGTGCTCCACCATCCAAACTCAATTGCACTTGGGCAAGCCTCTGCATTAAGCACTGGTGAGCTGCCTCTGCTTTCCCAGCACCACAAGGGCACACATAAATCCTGAGTGAGATGGGATAGGGAAGTGAGCCTGGGGTGCATCTCTGCAGTCACCTACCCATCCCATTGTACGTGGTAGCACCTCTGGTATCTTTACTTCATCTCATCCGTGGTCCAGTCTCATCCCAGAGACTGCAGGCCTGTGTTCTGTCTACATGAAACTCCCTATAATAACGTCCAGCTCGAATCTGTTTTGGTCCCTGGTGGAGCAGCTGCCATCCGCAGGAGTTGAAAGCCTGCCAAGAGCTTGTCAGGCAGGACAGCAAACAAAAGCATCACAGCAGCGCGGATGCGATCTTCACTGACTGACGCATGAAACAGGATGTCACCTTGGCAATGGGTGCACAAGTGGCAGAAAGGATCCTTGATAACGTTGCCAGCCAGGTCTTTCAGGGAAAGGTCAGACTAAATAAATTACATACCGTTCCAATGTCAGCAGCGCAGCCCTTGAGGTTCAGCAGAATTGTTCAGGCCCCTTTCCTAAGAGCTATTTCATTGCAGGATTTTCCATTTTACGTGTGTTCAGCTGGGGGAACTGTTTTTCTTCTCATTTAGTAAAATGAGCTTTCAGCCCAGCGGCAGCAGGATCGATACAGGACTTCAGTGAAATATAAATCTGGGCAGCAAAAGGAAAAACAATCTCCTGCTTGCAAGTACATCTGTCCCAAAGGGCACACAGGGATCATCAGGCTGCAGAGATCCAAGCACTATTCCCTGCAGTATCATGGAGTGACATCAGCAAAAGAGGAACAAAAATCCCTATTTGTAACAGAATCACAACTCATTAATGCTGTAGGGAAAGTACCCACTTGAAACAGTACCCAGCTGCCAAAGTGTGATTTTCTGAGTAAGCCAAGCAAAAGCCTGCAATGGCGAATGCAGCAGATGTGTCCAGATGCTGCAGCAGAGAGAGAGCATGAATTATTCAGGGCTGGTGCTTCACCTCGGTCCTTGCCGAAGCGGTGATCCCATGCTCACCTTTCCTTCACCAGCCCAGCTAAGTAATAGCAAATAAATCATCAGTTTCCCGAAGTGGCTAATGTTCATTTGAAGAACCCATGGCCTGAGGCTGGGCAAAGAAGTTGAGGGGTCATTGGAGCATGATGGGTGTTGGGGCTCCTGTCCATCTTGGCATATGTAGGCTCCTCACACATCTTTGGTGAGGTGTCAGCTGGAGGGAGTAATGAAACAGTTGTAGCAATGTTTGTAACTGTGCTGATGAAGAGGATGCTCCCTCTTCATCACCTCCTTGAAGTCAAGGGTGGATGGATGGGAGAGGATCAAGAGTTTGTGCCAGATCAGGACAGTAGGTGGGTAGAAACAGAGCTTGGGACACTTGGCATTTTGTTCTTGGACCTTTCTCCCGTCATCCTGTGGCCTCTGCCTTGGAGAATGAGTCAATAATTGGATGAACCAAAAAGGGGGAGAAAAAGGTAACCATGATGAGCAGGAATAGCTCCACGCTAATTGTAGCAATTAATTAACTAAACCTCCTTCTCCCAGCAGACAGGCAGCATGGTAGAACAAGATCAGAAACTGCCAGGGAAGCCACTGTGCATATTTTTCTGGTTGTACTTGTTCCTGGGTGTGTGACAGCGTTACACTGGCCCAAAAGCCTTGCTGGGTCTGGCCCCCAGCCAGGCTGTTCCCTGCTGGGCTGTACCCACATCCCAGCTAAGGGAACACTCCATCACCAGCAAACACATTTGCTGCAGTTGCCATCCCGTGCAGAATTACTGCCTCCTCGAAGGGACACCCCACATCAGCTGAGCCCCAGACACTGGTCACTGGTTTGCTTATAACCCAGTGGTGATGGAGAACAAACTCATTAGCTTTTAGGGCATTTTGGGCAAAAGCCTGTTGCACCAGCTCCCTATGATGGTAGGGAAAAAGCAGGGTAAAAAGGCTTTTTAGCATGATTTAGTAAGCAAATGGCAACCTGGAAGCAGCAATGCAAACCCTCTGCACCAATGTGGGACTATGCTTAGGTGCTGCCCATGTTCCCAAAAGGAGAAACAATTAAGAGGCAAACAGATTTACACCCTTTGATGCTTCTTTCCATGGGAGAGTGTAAATTTTCTGTCACTTGGTTTTCACATTAGTCCTTCATGTCCTGTCTAGACAGGAGGACTCTCAGGATTAAGAAGGAGGCTGGTCTTTCGGGCAGTTGAATGTCAGGCTATGGCTCAGTGCTGGTTTGCTGATCTCCAGCTGCATTATACATCTGGCTCAGCGGAAGGAAGCTCGTCTCAGCCTCAGGGGCCTGAATGTCAGTGAAGCAGAGGGTCCTGCCGGCTGTCCCAAGGAGCAGCTGCTCAGCAAACCCCTCCGGTGGCTTTGTTCCTGCCCCGATCTGAAAATAGTTGCAGGGCAGCACGATTACATTTGCCAGGAGAAGGGAAATTAAATTGATTCTAAAGTGTTTACCCAGAAACTCTTTGTTTCTGTTAACACCTATTTACTTTGAGAGCTAATTACTATTTTTGAACAAGCAGAACCTCACAGGATCCCGGCTCCTCTGCGTGTCTGAGGAAGCCAACCATTCCCAAGGAAAGTAGTTTTGCTCCTGTCTCAGTGCTGCCTTTCCACTGCAGTTTGCACTGCTGCCGCCTTGAGTGATCCAAATACAGTGGGGGGCGATCAGCCGAGGACCCTGGGCCACAGGCTACATGAGAAAGGCCAGCATGTGGGTATTTCAAACCATCTGCATTTTCCCTGCCCCAGTGGGAAGGCAGCCAGGGCTCAGCTGTGAACTGGATTTTCTCATATGCTTTGTTTGTTGAAGTTAAAAAAATACCAAATCCTACTAAACATATCTCATGTGCCATTAACCCTTTCTGAAGCTGGTGCTTCAGCCAAAACCCCTCCTGGTCCCATCCCCAGTATGACAGAAGTGCAACTACAGCAGGCTGTAGTTCAATTTCTCACAAATCAGTGTGTGCCCATGCAGTGAGCATGTCCTTGCAGGGGCCCTGTGCAAGGATTAGTTATTTTGAAGGAGTCAATAACTTTATTACTTTTATGTCAGTTTACTGTGCCACCCCCAGCACCTCCCTGGAACTCCTCTTCTACCTCCTCCATGGAAAAGGGGCTCTTTCAGGGGCTTGCATCTGTTGGTGCTGGCTAAACGTGGGTGAGAGTTCAAAAGCTTTTCCATGCACATCATTCATGCCCCTGTGCTAGAGGTTTAACCTAGACATGAAACCAGAGAAGGGAATATTTGTGGGTAAGTAGATGTTCTTGCTCTGAACTGAAAGCTCCCTCCACTTGGGAGAGGGTGAGGAGGGCGTGGGAAAAGGATGGCACTGGACTCCTGCCCTGATGGGTGTCTGGCAGCAGTAGCCTCTCCCACCCAGGCATGTTGTCTTCTCTCTCTCTTTTTTTTTTTTTTTTATTTTTTTTTTCCCATCTGGGACTTAATTTCTTTTATTTATTTTTCTGCTTTCTATCGGGGAGTTGCTCCAAGGCAGTTCTGGGTTCTGGCTAACTCCACACTCCATCTCCAAGGCTTGGCATTGGTATTTTACATCATGACAGGTATCAATCCCCAGCAATCCCAGCAATGTCTCACTGAACATAGATCAGGGCTGAGCATTAAAGTTTAATGGAGATGTGTCTCTCCTTCCTCCTTCGACTCAGACATGCTCATTCTGGCAGTTTAGTGGATCAGCCTCTGGATATCAGTCACTTTCTGCTCACACTGATGTGATCTGCATCTCACATGTGTGGGTCTCTTTGGCTTGGTTCTGCCCCAGACCCTCTACCAGTTGCCCTGTTCCAGCCCATGAGAGCAAATTTATTGCTCTCACTTGACTTACTTTGGTTGGGGGTCCCATATGGTCTGCTGGCTGGTTGCTCCCCAGCCTGCTGCCTGCAAGTCTGTGTTATGAGCCCATCTGGCTGCTCTTGCACACTCCTCACTGCTCTCCCAAAAACACGTTTGTCCTCCTAGAAACAGGCCAGTGATACCTCCAGCCTCACTGATTCCTCGCAGCCGGGTTTTCCTGGGTGTTTGCCAAACAAAGGGAGCCCAAGATGGACCAGAGAATAAAAACAGCAGATACCCCTGGAGACTTGTTGGGAGGACAGGAGCTGCCCAAAACTCAGTGAAGAGTCTGTGGGCTGCAAGACTTGAGCAAAACCAGGTTTAAACATTGTATAGCACTCACCTCTCCCAAACACTCCCAAGTAACCAGTGTTCCCTGTCCCTGCATGCTGGAGCAGGGCACCAGGGAGCATGTGCAAGGTGACAGTTCCTGCATTCCTTTCACCACTACCTCTCCCAAAGCCAGGAAGAACCAAAGCAGAGGGGA